CAAAACGAAACAAAAATGGAGGGGAGAGAAGAAAAAAAGAAATAGGTACAGTAGTGCATACATAATAGCCCAGCCCTTGGAGGGCTGAGGCAAGTCCACTGCCGGCCTGTAGTACATAGTGAGACCCTATCTCAAAACTGAAAGAAAAACTGGAATATTGTATATAGAAATCTGTGGGTATGTGCCACTGTATTCCTATTTTCTTGAAGAAACAAATACCTAATTCTTCCATTTTATGAGTGACAACTAAGGCTGGGCATAGTGCACGGGCCTGTAATCCCAGCACTCAGGAGGCTAAGGCAGGAGGATCACTGTGATTTTGAGGCCAGCCTGGACTGCACAGGGAAACCCTCTCAATCAATAAATAAATAGAAATAAGCACTTACCTGGCAAGCTCAAGGACCTGAGTTCAATTCCCAGTTCCACAAAAAATAAATAAATAAATGACAACTAAGATTTAGAAAATAAGAGAAACAGTAAACATTTACAGTCCAGTTATTGGGGCCGGGGAGATGGCTCAGTGGAATAAGCACTTCCCTGGCAAGCGCAAGGGTCTGAGTTCAATCCCTGGTTCCACCAAAAAAAAAAAAAAAACAAAACAAAAACAGTCCAGTTATTGTCTTTTTACAATAGCCATGTGAGGTTCAATAATGTGGGTTTTTTTTTTTTTTTTTTATGTACAGGGTGTCACTACACAGATCAGACTCGTAGTGATCCTGGTTTTCAGCCTCCCAAGCACTGAGATTACAGGTGTGCGCCACCAAGCATAATCTAGGATCAATAATGTTTGATAAATGAGAAAACTCAGCCTTAGAAAGGTAAAGTAGGGGCTGGGAATTTAGAATGCTTGTCTAGCAAGCTGGAAGGGCAGAGTTCTGTCCTTGACACCAAAACCAAAAATAAATAAATAAATAAGCCTCAACTAAAAAAACAGACAAAAAAAAAAGGTAAAGTAATTGCCCAAGTGTCACAGCTGGTAAGCAGCAGGTGGATTCCAAGCTTCTGCTCTTGTATTATATACTATTTCCCAGGAATGAAGTTCTGCCAGGAGACTGGTGGCAAAGCCAGGATTCAGATCCAATCCCCTGCAGAAGGAAGTGCATGATTTGGATGCTAGGATTTTTTTTTTTTTTAATCCGGAACCAGGGATTGAACTCAGGCCCTTGCGCTTGCCAGGGAACTGCTTATTCTACTGAGCTATCTCCCTGGCCCTGGGTACTAGGAATACATCTACTTGAATGTTGGCTCTTCCTCAGAGCTAGGAAAAGAGGATAGTGCCTGGGATTTGTACACAACTTCCCCCTAAATGCTGCTTTGATTGTGTTTGATCTTTACTCCAGCATTTAGCGAGTTCTCTGTGGCTGACACCATCATGACGGAAGATGCAGCAGTGAGAAACACAGAAATATTTTGGCACCTTAGACACTTGTAGAGGTGCATAAAAGGTGATGTGGTACACACGTGAAATCTCCAGGCCTGGGAGGCTGAGGCAAAAGGATCATGAGTTTGAGGCCAGCCTGGGCTACATAGCAAGTGTGAAGCCAGGATGGAATATAAGAGAGAAGCCAGGCATGGTGACACAGGCCTATAATCCCAGCACTTGAGAGGCTGAGGCAGGAAGATCACTATGAGTTTGAAACCAGTATGGGCTACAAAGTGAGTTCAACACTAGCCTGGATTACACAGGGAGACCCTGTCTCAAGACAAACCAGGGGCCAGGGAGACAGCTCAGCAGTATAAGCAACTGCCTGGCAAGCACAAGGTCCTGAGTTCGATCCCCAAAAAGAAAGGAAGAAGAATAAAAGAAGAAAGGAGGGAAGGAGGGCTGAGGAGGGTTCAGTGGTATAAGCAACTGTTTGGCAAGCACAAAGTCCTGAGTTCAGTCCCCAGTACCACTAAATAAATAAATAAATAAACCTTTATTTTTTAAAAAAAAAAGGAGGAAAGGAAAGAAATGAGACGGAAGGAAAAAAGAAAAAGGAAGAGACCATTGTAAAAGGAGGAAGGGAGGGAGGAAAGAGAAAAGGAAGGAAGGAGGTGGATTTGTGACTGGGTCCAAATGAGCTCACAAGGGGAATCTATTAGAGGGGTACAGCACATGCATCCACGGGCCAAATTATGGCTGGAAGCCATCTCTAGCAAAAGCAAAGCTTGCTGTCCTTATTCAGCATACTTGGGAGACTTGAAGGCAGTAAAAGTCCCATTGAAGGAGCTTCCTGCTGCTTGCGAAGGGTGCTTGTTGTGAGAGGAAAAGGGCTCTGTTAACTTGCTCTACAACCCACCGTGTGGGTGTCCTACTTGCAATCCCCATACGCCACCCAGCAGAAGAACCTTGGAGTGAGTGTGGAACTCCCTCGAGAGGAGGGGGCACCGGGTACTGCGAGCCAGCCTCACTGAGGAGAGGTAGGAAGGGCCTTGAATGGGGAGGAGCAGGGGTTTGCCAGCTTAGCAGAGTTTACAGGATTGTAAACTCCTATGACAAGCACATTATATCATATTTTAAAAACAACTTCACAGGGCTGGGGAGATAGCTCAGTAGAATAAGATTTTGCCTGGCAAGCTCAAGGTCCTGTGTTCAATCTCCACTCAGAAAAGTTGCCATCCTTCTCATCATTATGCTTTTCACTGTTTGCCTTTGTTCTAGCTGAATTTTATCATGTTTAATCCCCAAGAATTTGGTGCCTGTTCTTTATTCTGCCTAAAACACTCCATCTCCTATCTCAGCCTCAGCCACTCCGTTGTTTTTTTTTTTTTTTTTTTTTTTTAATGTATTTTAGGACAGGGTCTCACTACGGAGATCAGACTCATAGTGCTCCTGTTTTCGGCCTCCCAAACGCTGGGATTACAGGCACACACCACCACGACTCAATCGCTGTCTCAGTGCACCCGGGGGCAGGGCCTGGGACCGCAGGTGGGGGGTTGACCCGCGAGCTGCGCTCTGCCTAAGCAGGCGCTTTAGTCCACTGAGCTATCTGGCCGGCCCACCACACCTTTTCTTGGAGGGGTTGGAGTAACTGAAGATTGTACCCAAGCTTGCACTGAACTACATTCCCCAGCCCTTTTTTTTTTTTTTTTTCTTTTTTTGGCGGAACTGAGGATTGAACTCAGGCCCCTGTGCTTGCCAAGCAAGCGCTTATTCCATTGAGCCATCTCCCCGGCCCCTATATTTTTTTAGTTTCAGACAAGGTATTGCTCAATCGATACACTACCCAGGTTGGAACTTTGGAGCCTCCTGCTTCAGCTTCCTTGAATGATAGGATTGCAGGTGAGTGCCACATATCCTTGATTGACTGATGGAACAGGGCTCCCCTCTTGTTGCCCGAAGCTGAGGAGTGTGGTGCATGCTCGCTTGTAATTCCACCACTCCAGAGGCTGAGGCAGGAGTACAGCAGTCCCTCGCAATTTGGCAGTTTGACTTTCACGGACTCACTGTTTTGCAGGTTTTCAAAAAAATATTAATCTAAATTATTTTCGCTATATTGCGGGATTTTGCAGTACCGTGCAGTATACATATGTTGTTAAAATTAGTTTATGAGTTTTAAAAAAGATTAAGAACATTAGAAGTTTTTTTAACGTGAGGGAATGGTTTATAAAGCCTTATAAATACTGAAATCAGGTCACTACTTCGTGACTTTCACTTATTGCGGGGGTGTCTGGAACGTAATCTACACAGGATAAGTAAGGAACCACTGTGTAATCATGAGTTCGAGGCCAGTCTGGCCACAGTTGCTTACATGGTGAGAAAGCCCAAGGACCTGAGTTCCATTCCCGCTATCTCCCTCCCCCTCAAAAGGAAGCTGACTTAGCGTCAAGGACTTAATATTTGTGTGTGTACAGGTGTGTGTGTGTGTGTGTGTGTGTGTGTGTGTGTGAAAGAGACAAAGCGTGCAAGCTAGGAGGGAACCCCCCAATCTTATGTGCTAAGCACATGGCCCACCACTGAACTGCATCCCTAGCCAAGAAACAAAATTCAAGAAGCACGGAGTTAACAGCCACCCAAGTAAAAGGCTTGCATGCCCACTAAGGAGTTGTCCTTTGCCTTGGGCTTTCAGGGAAATGTGGCAGGGTTTTTTTGCACGGAGTGGGGGCGGGTAGGGAGGGGAAGGGAGTAGGTGGGGCGGAATATGGCCAAAATTCACTGCAGTCTGCTCGAAGGCCGAACTGTCAGGAAAACAGAAGCTCTTCCAAAAGCCCTCTGCGACATCACTGGGACCCACGCGGGTCTGTGCACTTTGGGCCGGAAGTGAAGCCCAGGCCTGCAGGCAGAGGTCTGAGGCTTCCAGTACGAGCTCAGATTGGCAAGGGTGGGAGGAGTTCGCGGCAGCGCCCTAAGTAAACGTTCATTGGTTTCCAAGGAAGCCATCAGCTGGGGAACTCTCGCGTGAACCTCTATCCAAGACTATTCCTGCGCCCCTGAGACTGGGGAAGTTGAGAGCAGCGATTGAACGCGTCTATCGTTTGTCCCTGGCCAATGCGGCCAGGTCCTCTTATTTCTTCCTATTGGCACTGTCCTCGGAACAAACTGGGCAGTGAGTCTCTCTCCCACGGGCGCTGGAGAACGCGGGTGACCTCCCCTTGGGCTGGAGAGCCAGCTTTGTTGTTGATGCAGTTAGGGCCTCCGGGAGGGAGGTGGTGTATCAGGGTCTGGGCATCCAGCGCGCACCATCTGGTCTGGCTAAGGAACGCTCACGGCCCGTTTCCCTGCCCCCTGCCCCCCACCCCCCAGTCTAGTCCAGTTTTCAAGTGAGGAGCTCTGACCTATTACATTGACAGCACCTGTAGGAAGCCCAACTTCAGACATCGGTTGAAGGGCCTGGTGGCAGCCTGAAAAGCCGTGTGGCTGACCGTGCCAAGACAACTTACTTAATGGGTTCAAGGAAAGGATCCACAGGGTGACAGCCAGCCCGAGGGCTTTGCCCATGGTGACCAATCTACACTACTTGCAACCCTCGTCTTGCATGTAGATGGATGTCCACACACACACCCCTACACAATTCAAACCTCAAACAAGAAATAGTTTATTAGCAAGGAGACACACAGCCGTCTGGCCTTGGAGCTTCCCTGGCCTCTTCTAGCCCTGCACTCACCTATGCAGTGGGTCACTGCCAATATCCAGCAGCGCCTAGGTGTGGCATCTAGACAGTGTCACCAGCGTTCCTCCTGCTGTCTCTATTCTGCCAGTGAACAGATGTCAGGGTGGGTTGGGGCTCTCAAGGGCACACAGGTGTGGCCTCTGTGTGAGGGCCGGCTCTTCCTGGCTGAGAGGTTTCTCCTGTGGATGAAGCTCAGGAGTGGGTCCGTCCACTATATTTTCCCCAACACGATGACCTCAGATGCTCCTTCCTCATACCAATGCCTTAAATTCCACAAAAGCCCACTGCTGTACCTCTCAGGGCAAAGCCTGGTCTCCGGGGCAATGTTGGAAAGTTTTTTGTTCTTGGTACTAAGAATTGAACCCAGACAATATTGAGCCATACCCAGCCCCGAGACAGGGCTTCCCTTACATTGCCCAGGCTGGCCTACTATATTCCTGCCTCAGCCCCGAGTAGCTGGGATTACAGGTGTGAGCCATTCTACCTCAATTCCTAATAGAGGCAGAAGGAATCGAGTCTTAAGGGTCCTCAGGCTAAGGTCAGTTTCTATCTTCAGCAACTATTTATGGAGTATCTACTGTGTGCCAGGCAGTGTTTAAAAGCTGGAGGTTTCAGTCCACACCGGCAAGGTGCTCAGACCTAGCCAGGATGGTTTCCTGAGTGGCCAGATTCCGGTCTCGTCTGTTCCTATCTACTGGCTCCGCCCGTTTGTTCCCCTCTTCCTCCCCGCACCGCCTCCCTCACCCTTTCTTTACTTTGGCAGCAGACCTTCCTTTGGTCTCCTGGGCCTCCACCCTCCCTGAAGCCATCATTCCAGTCCAGCTGGTGGCTCTTCCTTGAGAGGCTTTGCCCGACCATCCCCTATACCAAAGGGCCTCAGGACCAGGTGCCCACGCTGGTGCTTGATACGGGCAGAGCTGTCACCAAAACCCTTGCCACACTCTGCACACTTGTACGGCTTCTCCCCAGTGTGCGTGCGCCTATGTTTGACCAGATCTGAGCTCCGAGGAAACTCCTTCCCACAGAAGCCACACACATGGGTCTGGCTGGGTCCAGAGGGCTGGGCATGGGCTACGGGTCGAGGGGCCACGGATGCTGGGCCAGGGGGGTTATGCGGTCTCAGGAGAGTGGATGGTGGCAGAGGCCGAGCGCGTTCACCTCGGTGTGTGCGCAGGTGCTTCACTCGTGCTGAGCTGTCAGCAAAGCCCTTGCCGCACTCAGGGCAGAGGTAGGGTTTCTCCCCTGTGTGCACTCGGTGGTGTTTTACCAGGTCAGAGCTTCGGCGGAAGGCCTTGCCACACTCGGGACACTTGTGGGGCTTATCACCCACCGTCAGCGGTGGGGGTGGCTCGCCAGCCTGTGGGCCCCCTGGTTCTAGCTCCAAGCCGGGTAAGCCAAAAGGCCCCTCACCTGAGTGTGAAGGACTTCGGGGAGTCAGTGGCGGGCTGCTGACAAGAGGAGGTGGAGGCGGGCTGGGCATGAGGGGGACTACAGGGTGGCTGGGGAAGCCGAAGGCCTGGGGCTGCACATGTGTGAGCCGGTGGCGGAGGAGAGTGGAGCTGAGGCTGAAGGTGCGGTCACACTCGGGGCAGGCATGTGGCCGCTCACCGCTGTGGGTACGGAGGTGCTTGACCCTGGCAGAGCTGTCAGCAAAGCCCTTGCCACACTCGGGGCACAGGTAGGGCTTCTCCCCTGTGTGCACCCGCAGGTGCTTCACCAGGTCAGAGCCCCGGGCGAACTCCTTTCCACACACATCGCAGCCAAAGGGCTTGGGCCCTAGGTGACTGCGCTGGTGGCTCAGGAGGCTACAGCTGAGCACAAACCTTTTGCCACAGTCAGTGCAAATATAGGGCTTGTCCTGGGCCTTGGGTCCCTGTACTGCTGCAGTGGCTGCCCGAGACGGCTGCCTGCGGGGCACCACTGGCCGGGGGGCCTGCTCCCCTCGGTGTGTCCGCTGGTGCTTTATTCGGGCAGAACTGTCACCAAAGCCCTTGCCACAGATGCCACATTTGTAGGGCTTCTCACCAGTGTGTGTACGCTGGTGCTTCACCAGGTCAGAACTCTGTCGAAAGCTCTTGCCACATTCGCCGCAGATAGTGGGGCGTTCACCAGCAGGGATCCGGGGTCGAGGAATCTTTGGGGGGCCCTGGGCTGGTGGCCGGGCTCTGTAGGGCTTCTCACCACTGTGAGTTCGCTGGTGTTTGATGCGGGCCGAGCTATCCCCAAAGCCCTTGCCACAAACCCCACATTTGTAGGGCTTCTCCCCTGTGTGAGTCCGCTGGTGCTTCACCAGGTCCGACATCTGTCGGAAGCTCTTGCCACACTCACCGCACACTGCAGTCCGATCGGTACTAGCCTGGCTCCAGCGAGGCTCTCCCAGGACCCGACCTGAAGGGCCTCGGTCTCGAGGCTGGGACTTTGCTAGCCCTGCTCGCTGGACCCATAAATCATCCCAGGTCTGGATGCCTTCAGGCTTGAGAGAATCACTTTTTACTTCATGACCTGGAGCCAGATCTTCCTCTTCCTTGAACTCATCCTTGTCCTTTGGGGTATGCTGAAATTCACTTGGCTGAGAAATCTCCACATTCTCACTTCCTAGACCTGGAGAAAGAGAATGGGATTATAGAGCTTAAGCTATGGCTCAGCCTTTATCACTTGCTTTTGGTGTATACTTGTTTGTTGAGTTATTTTGAGACAGGATCTTGCTATGTAGTTCAGGCTGGCCTTGAACTCATTCTGTAGTCCAGGCTGGCCTAACACTCATGGCAATCATCCTGCCTCAGCCTCCTGAATGCTGGGATTACAGGCATGCACCACCCTGTCTGGCACCTTTTCATGTAATCTGATACACGTCCTTTTTTTTCTTCTTGCGGAACCAGGGATTGAACTCAGGCCCTTGCGCTTGCCAGGGAAGCACTTATTCTACTGAGCCATCTCCCCGGCTCCGATGCTACATGTCAAACCCAGGGCCTGGCATATTCAGGCAAGTGCTCTGCCACTGGACTACAATCCCAGCCACCCTCCTTCAGCCTCTATCCTTAATAATAACCTCCTCTTTTCCTCAGCTGCCGCCACGGTGCTTGGTTCTTCCGAGGAAGCTAAGGCCACGTTGGGGTGAGGCCCTCACTTCCTCCACTGACTAGCACCATGCCCGCAGGCCAAGTCATGGCCTCCATCTCTGAGCTTGCCTGCATCTACTCCGCCCTTATCCTGCACAACAACGACCGTGAGAGAGGATAAGATCAATGCCCTCATTAAAGTGGCTGGTGTCAATGCTGAACCTTTCTGGCCTGGCTTGTTTGCAAAGGCCCTGGCCAGTGTCAACATCAGGAGCCTCATCTGCAATGTAGGGGCTGGAGGCCTGCCCTCGCAGTGGGCACTGTGCCTGCAGGAGGTCCTTTCCCCTCCACCGCGGCTGCCCCAGCTGAGGAGAAGGTAGAAGCAAAGAAAGAAGAATCGGAGGAGTCTGAGGATGACATGGGCTTTGGTCTTTTTGACTAAACCTCAATTGTAACATGTTCAATAAAAACTGAACAGCGAAAAATAAATAAATAAAATAAAATTAGGGGTCAGGGAGATGGCTCAGTAGAATAAGTACTTCCCTGCCAAGCACAAGGGCCTGAGTTCAATCCCTGGTTCTGCAAAAAAAATATATATATATAATAATAATAATAATAATAATAATAATAAATACTAACCTCCTCAGGGAGACTTCCTCGCAAACATGTGACCCCAAGGATCCCACATTCTCCTCTGAGCTTCTGGAGCACTTCCTGTGATTACTCAATAATCATAACTTCACTTTACTATGTCCTTCATAGAGCCCGATCACTGAACTAGGCAGTACTGGACCCTCACACCCTCACAAGGCCGTAGGAGATAACACTATTAGTGTCCACATTTTACAATCGTGGAGATACAGAGAATTTAGGTCATTTGCTCAAAGTTCTAATAGAAAGTAGCAAAGTCAAGATTTTTTTTTTTTTTTTTTTGGTACTGGGAGTTGAACTCATGACCTCGTGCTTGCCAGGCAGGCACTGTGCCACTATCTCTCCTGCTCCAAAGTCAGATTTCTCACTCAGGTTTATCTGATTTCCAATTTTTTTTTCTTGTTTTTGGTTTGGTTTAATCTCTTTTCTGAGATAGGGCCTTGCTATGCAGTTCAGGCTGGCCTTGAGCTCAGATTATAGCCCAGGCTGGTCTTGAACTCAAAACAGCCCTCCTGCTTCAGCCTCCTGAATGTGCTGGGACTACAGGCGTGGGTCAGCATGCCGGACTTGGTACCTAAACCTACGTTAACTGCGTCATTATACTGCCTGTATTGGAAAACCTAGTATTTGCTCTTTCCACTATATCTTGTGCTACTAGCCAATTCTGTATTTCAGTCATCCCGTGTGAATCTGTGTGTACTAACATCCACCTCTCAAGATGTCTAGAGAAAAGATATACAATAAAGTATTAATAATTGCAACTGTGGATTCAGAACTGTGTTATGTCACAGGACATAGGAGATGAGACAGAGACAGGCTTTCCAAGCAAAGAAAAGCACCGACAGGAATAAACGATAAAAGTGGAAAAGGATGTTGCAATTGGCTGAAGCACCCAAACTTTGGACTGAGTAGTGAGCTAAGGAAGATGGGGTTTGGTTTTGTTCTATTTTGTTTTCTGTAGTAACGATTGAACCCGGGTTCTTTACATTGAACTACATTCCTAACCCTTTAAATTTTTTTTTTTAATTTGGAGACAAGGTCTTGCTAAGTCACTAATGTTGCCCAGGCTGTGTTCAACCCTAACATTCTCCTGCCTCAGCTTCCCAGGATGCTGGTATTACTGGCCTGCAGCCGGCTTGATAAAAATAAGGCTTTTAATTAGTAGTTACACGGGAACTAGGGTAGGTTTTGAGGAGCTGAAATTAGATCTGGGCTTGGATCCATCTGGCTGTAGAATCATCACTGGGGAGAAAAGGGCAGCGGTGAGGTTTTAGCAATCGCCGTTGCTGGGAGGCACAACGAGGCCTGAAGTAGGTCAGTGGCGCTGAGACGGGTGCACCCTGGGGGAGGGCGGAGAGTCCGTGCGAAGGCGCCCCTGGCCGCCCAGCGCACAGGAGACGCTAACAGACGTCGCTCGCCGCTCTCCCCGTCCCGTTTCCTCCACGCTTCCAGGAGGCAGCGCCCACCAGGAGAGTCCCGCCCAGCCATTACCTGCCCTTGTGGCGCGGCCCTCACCTGCACGGGCGCCTCTCAGCGGCTCCCTCTGCTCCCGCCCGCGGAGATCCGAGCCCCACGGCTCTGCGGCGCGCTCCATCGCCTGCACGCCGCCCTGAGCAAGCCGACAGACGCGTAACCCGCGGTCACACAGCCCCGGGAGCCCCTCCGGCCGCGGCTGCACCTGCTACCGCTCTCGCCGCGCGCAGCCGGCCCGCTCACCGCGCCGGCCGCCTCCGGCTCCACCGCCCCGACGCTCTCCGGAGC